GGTTCCTCAACTCGATTGATGAGTTCCATTGGAGCTAAGTCTTCTCCTTAGGAGGAGGGAATGTCTGAACAGTCCGACCCAAGGGAGAGACTTTCCTTTGGTCAGTTGGTCATGGGGGGAGATCTAGTCTCTTTAGAAACTTTACGAGTCCTGCGCATAACCTTGGGGCTAAGGGACCCAGAGGAGAGAAACTCCTCATACTTGGCTTGGTCAAACTCCACGGTTAGGGTTCCAACAGTTGTATGCGCGGGAAATTATAAGAAAATTAAGAATTGAATCTGTATTATTCTCTCTAACTAACTTAGAAAAAGAATGATTATAATCCTCTCAATATAACTTCTTTCTAACTGACTTAGAAAAAGAAACTATAATTCTCTCTATCGGTTCCCTGATTTACAAAAGAGAAAAGAATGAAACCCTCCCTTTGTTTAAAACTGGGTTCTTCTTTATGACGATGGGAGTTTGAATCTTGTATCTCGTTGACGATTCGAGCACTTTGCTTCGTGGGATGTCGGTCCTCTCTCCTTGACTTGAATTCTTGAGAGAACTTGCGAGGGAAGTTTATAACTCCAGCCGAGTTTTGAGAACTCTCTGTAAGAGTGTTAAGAACTTGCAAGACAAGTTCGGAACTCTACACGAGTTTGGGAAACTTGCTGGGCAAGTTGTGAACTTTAGGTGAGTTTGAAGGGAACTTGTTGAACAAGTTGGGAACTCTAGCCGAGTTTGAACTCCAAAGAAGAGTTGATTTTAGACAAAAGATAAACCTCCAAGAGAACTAACCGAAATTGGTTTAAAAAGCAAGCCAAGAGCTCCAAGGAAGCCCATCTTCTTCTCTTTCTTCTCTTTTTTTCTTTTCTTTTGGCCCCCCTTTTCTCCTCGTTTTTGGCCTTTTTTCTTGCTGGAGATCCAGCCCTATATATAGGGCAATCAGGGGGTAAGGTGCCCTTTAACAGGCCCTTAACTGTGCCCATACCTTGACAGGACAGTTTTAAAAACTATTCCTGAGTCAAAAATGTAAGGGTCAAGTTCTGGAGAGAAAATATGGGTGAACTCTACGTTTGGGTTCTGAAAACACAGGGCGAACTCTGCGTTTGGTTTTGGCAACACAGATCGACCTCTACGTTTGAGTTTTGAAAACACAGGGCAAACTCTGTGTTTGGTCTTAGCAACACAGAGCGACCTCTGCGTTTGAGCTTGGCAACATGGGGGTGAACCTTGCGTTTGAGATTTGGAATGCATGGCGACCTCTGTGTTTGAACTCTAGAAACGCATGACGACCTCTGCGTTTGAGCTCTGGAAGCATATGACAACCTCTGCGTTTGAGCTCTGGAAGCGGACGACGACCTCTGCCTTTGAGCTTGGCAACACGGGGTGAACCCTGTGTTTTGCCTTGAAAGTGCGGGGTAACCCCTGCGTTTTGAGCTTCTGGGACGCGGAAGAGGGTTTCCGCGTTTGGATTTGTAGAGATCGTCAATTGTAATCTCTTTTCTTTGACTTTTGTGCAGATTGTCGTCTTATAATATTTACACTTGGCCCTTGTGGAATGTGAGAGTCATCAATTTGTAACTCTCGTACGTTGCTTTGAATGTCTTCACACTGTAACTTTCATCGACTGTTGCGGAGGTCGTCAGATTGTAACTTCCGCTTGTTGATGTGAAGGATGTCAGATTGTATCTTTCATCATCTGTTGTTTTGTGGGGATCAGCTATTTGCAGTAATTTTTAGACAACCTACAACATGAAATCAAACCTTTGATGATTTATAGACACATATCGATGGTGCTTAGGGACTCATCGATGGTCGTGAGGGACCATTGATGGTGACAACGAGAATTTACAGATTTCAAGACTTAATCACAATCGTTCGTTGATCTCTTTTATCTCCAACTTCTACTATGGTTTGATATCTCTTTCCTAATTTATTAAAGGCTATATAAGATTAACAGAGATAATATTTAAAAAGAATTCTAAGGTTTGAGAAGAGAGCTTTTGGAGAGAACTTGAAGATAAAATTTTTAGGGTTTGTGAGAAGAAGTTTGTATTGAAATTCCAACCCTTGAAGCCTCATCAAACTCTTTCTAGTCATGCTCAATATCTCCAGATCATCGTAGCAAGAGGAGTTGCCTTGGGTTAATATTTTGAAGAACAATTTACTAGTTAAAAGGACTATAAGATCTTGCTGATTCTGTGCTTAAATTATATTTAGTAGTTTCTTTCAAGCTTTACTTTTATGGCATACTAAACTGGTGTTAATTGAGGGTTTACGACATACCTAAGTCGCGGTGCTTCCTCATCGGTATTACTTAAGGGTTGGTACTAGCTAGGGCTAGGTACTCATTGTGGAGAGTTAGGTTAGATAACTATTTTCAGATAGATTTCACGGTCGATGTAAGCCTATTGAATCGGGTTCTGGTTTAGGAGAACTCTTGACGTAATGAGGAAGCCCCATTGTAAAAAGGAAAATTGGACATAAAATTGTTGTCCGAACTAATATAAAATTTTGCTTATTATTAGCTGGTTATTTTTCACTTTTACTATATTTATTTTTCTATTTATTCCTTATTTTTAGGGAAATATGATAGCAACCCTTTTCACCCCTCCTAAGGGCTTGCACTTATAGCCAATGTTTTTTTACTTGGTCTCTAATGAGTCTTATGATCAATCATTTTTAAATACAAAAAATTAAAATTTCACACTACATAAAAATGGATTAGTAATTACACTATTTCTAGCCACGTTTTTCCCTTTTATTATTATTATTATTATTATTTTGTGTGAAAAGGAAACTATTTATAGTCTACATCAATTGTCTTATATTTCAACTCAGCTAAAATACTAGATTGACTTTAAAACTAATGCCACTTTACCACTCTAGGCTAAAAACCTTAAAACTAATACCGCTTTACCATTCTAGGCTAAAAACTAACACCAACGACACTCTAGCTTAAAAACTCACAAATACGACAATAAGTAGGTTTATCCATTGTCGGAGGTAATTTTTAAGTAAAAAACTAATAGATTTTTTCATATAAACCCTTCAATCTCTCCTGTTTTTTAGATTAACCACTCAATCCCCTACTATGAAGTTTGTAGAAAGCCCTTCCTTTCCACCATCTGCTTCCTCATCCTTCCTATCATTTTTTTCTCTTCTCCTTCATGTTCCGACTTTTCCTCATCTCTTCCACTCTTTTTGTCTCCTTTCTCATATCCTCACTCTTATCTTCTCCTTTTCAAACTCCATTCTCTTCTCCTCCCAATCCTAACGTCCCTTCCTCTCTCTTACTCTCTCCCCCTCCTCCTCTGTCACTCTCCCACTCATTGTTCCTCCCTCCCATTCCCTCTCCCTCATTGCTCCACCCACTCCCAATTTCCAATATTAAATATTCTACTAAAAAATTCAATCTCCTTCTCTTTCTCTCTGAGACCTAAGAATAAATATTTTACTTGAAGTATTAGAAGAAGATGGTGGAAAGGAGAATGAGAGAAATAAGATAGGAGAGAGAATGAGTGAGAGAGATTAGAGAAAGCTGAGAATATGAAGAAGAAAGAGGGAGAATGGGAGATAAGAAGGTAAGGGTGGAGATACGACAAGGGAAGTGGAGAGAGTGAAAGAAAGGTGGGGCGCCGCGGGGGGTGGGGGTGGGGGGTGCTATGAGGTTGAGGATGTAGAGGAGAAAAGAATGAAGGAGATGGTGAGAAGGAGGAGGGAGAAGATGGTGGGTAGGGAGGCATATAGGAGTTTTTTTAATACAAACCTTAAAATTTGAAGGGGGTAAATCTAAAAAGTATGAGAGATTAAGCTCCAATATGTAACAATCTCTTAATTTTTTGCTTAAACTAATAGAAAATTTAAGTTTTCAGCCGAATAGACCTACTTGTCGCTGTATTTATAAGTTTCTAGACTAGAACGTCGCCGATGTCAGTTTTTATACTAGAGTGATAAAACAGTGTCAGTTTTAAGGCAACTTGGCCTTTTAGCCATTTTCAACTCTTTTGTAAGTTTTAATATAACTCATTTTATGGGATGAAAGTTATGAGTGGAAGTCGTGGGCTGAGGCCGGGTGGAAGAGACCTACGGATGGCGCTTACTAGTTTTGGCCTATTTTCGAGTTCTTTTTTAATTTTAAGGGAGAGGGTCTGCCCCATTTACCAATATAAATCTCAAGTTCATAGGTCCACACCATAAAGGGATCTAGGAGTAGCTATTTTTTGAACTGAAATTATCACGTTTTCTCTTCGTCAAATATTTCTTCTTTCCTTTTTCCCCCCTCGCTAATAATGCTGTTGCTCCGCCAAAGGATGATGACAATATAAATTAAATTTGTCTCGCAGTGATGAGTCTTTCCTGTTGTTGTATGTTTTACTCAAAAATGCCTCTAACAACCAGAAACGTCATGGTTAAGCTGTTTATATGAATGCTTGCAAGTCACATATATATTCTTCCAAAAAAGAACAGAAAGGAAAGGAAAAGGAGGTGTATTAGGCCAGAAGACTTGATTCAATTGTTAAATTTGGGTAACAAACAAAGGAAGAAAGCAAGGCTTGTTTTATGTTGAAAGGCCCCTTTACGACTCTAATGGAAGGAAATTAGGGTTATTTGCTTATATACCTGTTAGGCTCTTAAGTTAAGGATATTTGCAAAAGTATCCCTTTAATTTTAGTATTTATAAAATTATCCATGAAGATCATCGACTTTGTGAAAAATCCTTAAAATTAACAAATCATCAGCTTGGTGCTGAAATTTTAGACATTTTTTGATATTTTTATATTGCAGGTTATAAATTTGCTTATCAAAATTATTACTTATTTGTTTTGAGGGTATTTTTAAAACAACCGATAAAGTAAGGGGCACATTTACAAATAGCCTAAGAACTTAAGGGCGCTACCAACCCCAAAGAATTATAAAGCCCAAAAAGCGAGATGAGAGCGGGCAGACGGTCACTGCTCGGCACTCTCCTTCACGAAAGTGTGGTCATCTCCGCCGCCTCCTTTTTTTCTCTTCCGGCTAAGAAGGGGTGGGACCACCGCCGTACACGAGGACTGGGTGAGGAGAGCGGTGAGCATTGTCCCCTCTCTCTCTCTCTCTCTGCCCCGCCCCGCCCCTTCCTAAAACGATGAACGGCAAATCCTAATTCCCCACCAATTAATTAATTTAAAATTAATTAATATTAGTTGGGAAGAAGAGAGTAGAGAATCGGGAGAAAGCGGCAAGCCCGCCCCTAATTAATACGATAAAGAAGTCCGACGTAGGGTGAGGGGCACGTGTCCCTCGGCAGCATGGCACAGTGACACGAGTCCAAGTCTCCCAGACGGCGCCCTCCATTTCTCCTTCAAAATTCAGCCCCTTCTCTCTCTTTCAAACCCTAACCCCCTCCCCCTTGGCCGCAATTTGAATTTTCCTCAGCAATTTCGGAATCACAATGGCAATCAGATTCATCATCTTCTTCTTATTTGTGCTACTGATTTCTGTTCTAAATGTCAATATGTGTTGGGGAAGGGAATGGGGCCCAGAGATCCTGATGCCCACGGAGGAGGCCGATATCACCGGAACAAGGTGGGCTGTTCTTGTTGCGGGCTCTAACGGCTACGGTAACTATCGCCACCAGGTGCGGATATTACTTATGTTCAGTTAATCGATTCGAACTTTCATAAATTATTATTAGCAAACTAAATTGGGTTGGGGGGCAGGCGGATGTATGTCACGCATACCAGGTGTTGAGGAAGGGAGGGCTGAAAGAGGAAAACATCGTGGTGTTCATGTATGATGACGTGGCTGACAACCCTCTCAATCCCAGGCCGGGCGTTATCATCAATCACCCCAGCGGCCAAGATGTGTACAAGGGAGTCCCTAAAGTAATTTCTACTATTCTTGCAATCCAATCAATCAATCAATTATATATAAGTGTCCCGGTGTCTGTTACTCTTCCCTTTTTTTTTTGTTTTTGTTTTTAACCAAACAGCTAGCGGGCATGGCAGCGCTTAATCACTTTTTGACCAATGAATTTTGATTCGTGCGTTTCTGTGGGGGAAAATGATTGCTATGTAGGACTATACGGGTGCGCAAGTGACGGCGAAGAACCTGTATGCAGTCCTTCTGGGTAACAAGACAGCAGTCGAAGGAGGTGGGAGTGGGAAGGTGGTGGATAGCAAACCCAATGATCACATCTTTGTTTACTACTCTGATCATGGCGGCCCCGGTGTTCTTGGTTAGCTTGGGTTTCCTCTCTCTAGTTTCCACAAGAATTAGCCAGTTTAATATATATGTTTTTGGGTTAACATTACCTTGTTACTTTATTATATAGGAATGCCCAACCCGCCGTTCCTCTACGCGGCTGAATTTATCGAGGTTTTGAAGAAGAAGCATGCTGCAAAGAGCTATAAAGAGATGGTATTTCCCGCCTCCCCAACCCAACTAGTCGTTTTAGTCACCGTTTCAATCAATTGGGCGGCGGGCAGTATAAATTTGAAATGTGAAATTGAAACTGAAACTAAGATTAGAATGCTAACTCAAATTAACAGGTTGTGTATGTGGAAGCATGTGAGAGCGGGAGTATATTTGAGGGAATAATGCCGGAAGACCTGGATATATATGTGACTACAGCCTCAAATGCGGAGGAGAGCAGCTGGGGAACTTACTGTCCGGGAATGGATCCCCCTCCACCTCCTGAATACATTACTTGTCTCGGTGATTTGTACAGCGTTTCTTGGATGGAAGACAGGTTCTCCTATCTATCTATCTATATATATATTCTCCGTTACTACTACGTCGTCTATCGTAACATCCAGTCAAGTCAATGGTTTGATACCACTTCAATTAGTTTGCCCTACTATCTCCCTCTGTTTAAAAACGAGATGGAGCATTTAACTGCGTTGTGGGCCTTGTGGCAACAAGTGTAGAGTTTGACTCACTGTGCTAAAAATAATTTACTAAAAACAAATCTGGAAGAAAAATGCCTACCCAGAAGTATGTTTTGAGGGCAGGCGCAGGACATGAGTACTGGGCCAGTCCCAGGGGCCAATATGAAAAGCGCTCTTCTGTTGTTCTGATTGGGGGCGGTGTGGTTGTTTGTGTAACAATGTTGGTATTGTTGGTGCAGCGAGAACCACAATCTGAAGAAGGAGACGGTGAAAATGCAATACGAGAAGGTGAAGGAGAGGACATCCAACTTCAACACCTACAATGCTGGGTCCCACGTGATGGAGTACGGGAGCAAGGGCATAAAGTCGGAGAAGCTGTACCTCTACCAAGGCTTTGATCCCTCCAATGCCAACGTCTCCGACAACGCCGTCCTTCGTCCTCAGCTCCCCAGCAACATCCGAGGAGCCGTCAACCAGCGGGATGCCGATCTCCTCTTCCTTTGGCGCTGGGTAGCCCCGACCTTCTTATCCTTGTGATTTTCAGGTTTGGTGCTTGTTTAGATGGAATGGGCTGATCTGGTTACTCTCTACATCTTTGCTTGTTTCCCAGTATCAACAGCTGGATGAGAAATCGAAAGATAAGGCAAAAGTTCTCAAAGAGATTACGGACAAAATGGTGCACAGAGCTCATCTTGATAGCAGCATTGATTTTATTGCAAAGCTCATTTTCGGAGCAGAAAGGGGTCCGTCTATTATTACTGCTGCAAGACCTCATAGTCTTCCACTTGTTGATGATTGGAGTTGTTTGAAATCAATGGTACCATCATCATTTTTATGCTCTGGAACTTTATTTATTTACTTAAATTTATTAAATATGCGTCTTGAACAATCTAGTAGTATTTGGTTATCAAGCATTTTTCTTATTCAAACCACAAAATGAAACAGTGGAGCAGCACTCGACCTTTCTCTATATACTTCGCCTTACAACATGTGCTTGGTTTTGAGCACTGGTTTCTCTTTTTTTACTTTCTAGATATTGTAGCGTTTTCCTTCTTTTCATCTGATCAAATTTGTACTGCAGGTTCGAGTGTTTGAATCTCACTGTGGATCACTCACTCAGTACGGTATGAAACACATGCGGGCATTTGCAAACATTTGCAACAAGGCCATCTCTTTGAAGACAATGGAAGAGGCGTGCATTAGTGCCTGTGGGAGCTATAACTCCGCGAAATGGAGCCCCCTACTGCATGGATACAGCGCCTAATTATAGTACTATTGCAGACTCCTAAGTGATGGAAAGGTAGCTATATTTTATGTTCTTATTTATGTAAATGTGGTTGCCTGTTATAACTAAAATTATCGTGAACATATTATATAAAGTAGTTGTTGGAGGATCTCGTCCAACTAGTTCAGTGTGCAGAAGTGTCTAGTCTTTATATGCAATTTAATATATCGTTTTATCTCTGTTTTGGAGTGATTCTATTATACTTGTTATCATCCTGCCATGAAAGATTGGCAGATGATAGGTTTTCTGTGGTGTTCTGGTAAAATTTCCTCTTTTAAGGGTTATTCAATTGCAAATTTGATGTACATATGCTTAATTGTTGTTGGGTTAGAACTATCAAAAATAATAAGAAGTTATGGATTATAGTCTATAAAAATCAAAATTTTGAAATATGCGTAGTTCACCGCCATTTTGTTGAAACAGACAGTCACAGACAAAAATCATAGGTTATAGTCTATGAGATTGCAATTATTGAACCTTCTCCTCATTGCAAAAAGTGCATCTGAGTTATACTAGATATGTTAGCATGTAGGAGTTGCTGGAATTCAGTATGGTGTCGATAAACAATATTTTCCAGAGCTCATTCGTTGACAGCTGCCACACGCAGAGTGGGTGTATAGGGATTCGAATATGGAATTTTGTTTCTCTTTTATGTAGTTATAAACTATTGTTGACAGCTGCAAAAGGAGAATGTAATCTTATGTAGTAAGGCGAATGGATCCTTGAGGATGAGAAAAGAGGATTAGGAAAGGATTTGAAGGTGTGCTTTTAGTCCATGGTAAATTTGGTGATTCAAGTGAGGAATTTGATGAAACGAAGGTGTGTCTTTAGTCCATACTTCATAGTTTTAGAAGTAGTTGTTTGGATCACAGGATGAGGAAAATCGAATCATGGAGTTGGCAAATGGAGTGAGTAATAGAGCAGTATATGGGAACGAAAGCTTGAGGATAGCTGCAAGTTGTTTTATGATGTTGGTATATTTCCTTTTAGAGGAAAACGTGGCATGGAACTTTTTGTTTTGCAGAGTACTACGAAGGTGAAATAGATGATTATAATGTACTTACTTGAAGAGAATCAAGTAAATTACACTAAATAATTAATACATGTTTGAATAATCTGTGATGCCGGTAAGTTGTATTATAATGTTGGTGTCTACGTTCATAGCAAGACGTATTGTGATCTCCAGGGGACTACAGTGTTGCAATGGAAGTTTTCTTAATCTAATAAAATGAGGCAGCAAACCTGCCTGCATGCAGATTAGGTGTGATTAGGCGTGAGGGTGACTGGAATCTCTGGGCTCTCGGCAATGCTTGAAATATGTTTTGGATGTTGAAGTATGCCTTGAATGTTGAAATATATGGTACGTGACTCCGTTGTTCATCAGTATCTATGTGCTAACTTCTATTTTGACAACACATTGTGTGCGTACCCGTTGTGTTTATATGTGTGCGCTACCGGATCGAGGTATATGCGCATTTCTTTGTGTAGGCTGTCTAAAAATTACTGTAAATAGTTGATCCTCATGAAGTATTGATGATGAGAGATACAATTTGACGACTCCCACATCAACAATCTGATGATGGAAGTTACAATCTAACGACTTTCACATTAACCGACGAGAGTCACAATCTGATAACTCTCACATCAACAATCTGATGATGGAAGCTACAATCTGACGACTCTCACATCAACAATTTGATGATGAGAGTTACAATCTGACGACTTTCACATCAACCGACGAGAGTTACAATCTAACGACTCACATTTCAAAGAGCCAAATGCAAGGATTACAATATGACGATCTTTGCAGTATTCGAAAAAGAGATTATAATTTGACAATCTCTTCAAGGTTAAACGCGAGGGTCACCCTCGCGTTACAACCTCAAAACGCGAAGCTCACCCCCGTGTCACAATCTCAAAACGTGGAGCTCACCCTCGCATTTCAGAAGACAAACGCGGAGGTGAGCTCCGCGTTTCATAAGTTAAACGCGAGGCTCAAGCCCAAATGCGAACCTCGCGTTAGATTAACTTGAACGGTCTCAAAACCGTTTTTACACTTAGTGGGAACCATATGATGGAGCCCCTCTTAAAGCCTATAAATAGCTGAGATCTCAACTGAAAAAGGGAGGGGGAATTTTTGGGAGAGCTCTTTGGAGATCCTTAGCTTTTGGGGAGAGCTTTTAAAGCATTTGTGGAGCTTTTGACTTGCTTTTGTGAACCCATCTCGGTTATTTCTCTTGAGATCGGTTCTTTGGCTGAAAATGATTTGTTTTCTTTTCTTAAATCAACTCTTTCTTAGAGTTCATAACTCGTTTAGAGTTTATAACTTGTTCGGCAAGTTCTTCAATTATTTAGGGAGAAAAGCAAAGGGAGCCAGAGGAGTGAACCTTGCTGACAAGAGTAACGCTGATGACGGAGATTAAGTTTCAGGAGAGGAGTACGAGGAGGGAGTACAATGGAGATGGATGGAGAAAGGATTCACTTTGCTGGAGCCGCAGGAGAGACAATAACACTGTACTAATAGTTGAAAAGCCTAGATGACTAACTAAATATGTTCAAGTCCAAACTGATAACCACAAAGGTATGGCCTAAAGACCACAAACGAGATCGCAAGAAATGATCTGCAGTAGACAGAAAGCTGTAGGAGCGGGTAACGCCCATTTGATGGCACTCACGGTTCTCTTGTATCTCCAAGTATGCATGATCCTGACTATAGCTAACAATACAGTGTTACATTAATCTTGCTGTGTGCGAAAATTACTAACTATACATTCACACTTAAAACAATGTGTGATCATAATGTAAAAATTTGAAGGACTCTACTCTAATGGATCCCATGAAAAGTTCAAAAGACATAATAATTACAATAGCTGTCAACTGTAGTTCATGTTTCCTCCTCTTCCACTCTATGTATACAAACTGCTCATATAAATATATTGTTCTAGTTTGCTTCACAAAGACCAGTTGCTGAATCACAGAATCCGTCTCGATCAAGAAGCTTCTGAGGTGGTGCACTCAAGAGTGGGGATGAAGGGCTTCCATATGCATTACGTCGGGTGTTTCCACATCCAAGACTCTTTCTAGTGTCAACTCCCGTTATTGAGTTTGTCCCATTTGCATACTTGCACAATGCCTGAAGTTTCAAAGCAAAAATAATATCATATAGAATGCTGGAGATGTAGAAAGAAGTGGTAGGCATGAAAGTTCCAACAACAAATTAAGACAGCCTACAGATTTACTTGTTTCTGGGAGAGGTCCAAAACGGCATCACTGAAATCAGCACCTTCAATGATCGCACCACCAAGATCACTGCGGGTCAGAACTGATCTCACAAGTACGGCATTTGTGAGATTAGCTTCATTAAGAACCTAGTCAGAAGCATTTAGATTTCACCATGAATAACATGATCAAGAATAATTTAACATCCAACTCGCAAATGAGATAAATTCTGTGCTGTTTGAGAGGAAAGAAGTTAGTAAGAATACCTAGAAGATAAGATGAAATCCCAAAGGTTGTTGCTTAAGCACTCAAAAAGCCAAGTAACAGTAAAGAGAGTATCATAAAAAATCTCACTGCCATTTAGAGTGCACGTCTATGGTACATAAAATAAATTTCGGTTATCACATATCAACAATGACAAAAATAGAGTCCAGTGCATCCCAACTATGCTTTTGGTCTGACTTGTTTGAAGGAAATGGGAGAGAAAGATGATAGGATTAGCATGAGCCATGAATTGACTCCAAACTAGAATCCCTAGTGGACCATGTTTACCACTTTACCTGCTATCCTATAGACCTGGACTAGCCAAATAAATGATGCTCAAGCTTCTTCGGTTCACATATTTTTTCATTTCTGTTTAGTTTTAAAATTTTCATATACCAGCCTAAATCAATGCATCCGATACTACATGGAAGGGTTTACCTATAACATTAGGAATATATGACCAGAAGTGTGTGTTTAGGAGCCATGCTACAAAAAGATTATATCATTACCATGCGATCCATCAATGTATCACTCAAATCAGCACCTGCATTTAGCAAACAATAAATCAGGTGAAAGCATTGATTTGCACATTTATAATAGAGCTTCAAGAGAGGTGGCATCCATATCCTATAATGCAGAACTACTTGATGGATATGCAAAATGTGAACACCAACGGATTACTCAAACTTCCATCAACCTTAAGATAAATTATTTTGTTGCAAATTATTTTGTTGCCTTCTAGCCTAGGCACGTAAAAGATAAGCAATGTGAATTTCCAGTCACAGATATTCACACCTAAGAACACAATAGCTTTGAGACATAGGTCTCTATTACCAAAGTAAGTTAGTTTGCCTTGACAAATAACCTTCTGTGTCTACGTACACACCCATGCATCTTTGGGTTGAAACGGACAAAAATTGTTGGTTATAGTCCATGACAATTGCAAATATTGAACTATGTGCTATTGAGTCAAAATGGATAAAATGAAAAAAAAAAACATGGGCTATATAGTCCATGAAAATTAGGAATTTTGAACTAAGCGTACTTAATTGCCATTGGGTCCAAATGGACAAAAATGCGCATATGAGAATCTAGAATTTTAAAGTAAACATACTTAATTCTCATTTGATTGAAACGAACAAAAACAATAAAACATCGTAGCTTAGAGCTCATGAAAATCGAGAATTTTGAAATACACATACTTTATCACCATTCAGTCAGAAAATTGACAATAATGGATAAAACATGGTCAATCACCAATGAAATGACGAATTTTGAACTACGTGTACTTAATTGTCTTTAGGCTGAAAGAGGCAAAGATGTATAAAAATCTTGGTTTATAACTTGTGGAGATGGCGAATTTCGAAGTAAATGTGCTTAATTGTCATTGGGTCGAAACAAACAAAAATGGAAAAAATTGTAGCTTATAGGTTATAGCCCATGAAAGACAAATTTTGAACTACGAGACATTGAGTCAGAACACATGAAAATGAACAAAAATCGTGGGTTAGCCTATAAAATTTAGAATTTTGAACTCAGTGTGCTTAATTGCCATTAAGTTCAAATTGAAAACAATGATCAGAAGTCGTCATTTACAACCTACAAAAATCCTGAATTTTGAAGTACTTAATTGTCGCTGGGTCAAAACGGCCAAAAAAAAGATCACAGGTTATAACCCTTGATTTTGAAAATCAAGAATTTTGAAATAGCCATTTTATCGCCATTGGGTCGAAACAAACATTAACAGACAAAAATAGTGGTTCTATGAATCACAAATTCTGAACTACATGTATTAAACTGCTTTAAGGTTGATGAAATACACAAGTATTAATAAAAATCACGGTTTATAACTCATGAAAGTTACAAATTTTAAAGTGAACACAACTAATTGTCAGTTTAGTCGAAACAGATTAAAAAGGACAAAATTGTGAACTATAACTCATGAAAATCACAAATTTTGAGCTATTCATCATTGAGTTAAACAAATAAAAATGAACAAAAATCATGGATTAAAGCCCATGAACATTTAGACTTTTGACCTATGCGTACTTAATTGTCATCGGGTCGAAATTGACTAAAATTAATAAAAATTATGGGTTATAGCCTATGAAAATCCTAAATTTTTATGTACATGTCCTTAATTTCCATTCGGTTGTTTATCAAAACAGATGAAAATGATAAAAATTATGGATTATAGCCCATGAAGATCGAGAATTTTAAAGTATGCATATTTTATCACCATTGCATCGAAACGAACATTAACAAAAAAATCATGGGTTCTACCCCATGAAATCGCAAATCTTGAACTATGTGTGCTTAATTGCCAAAAGATTGAAATGGACAAAAAATAAACATGCGAGTTATAACCTATGATGATCCAAAAATTTAAAGTACGCATACTTAATTGTCATCGGGTCGAAACAGCGAAAAATAGATAACAATTGCAGCTTATGGCCCATGGAAATCACAAACTTTGAACTACATGTCATTGAGTTGAAAAAAAAATGAACAGAAAAACATGGGTTATAGCCCATAAAAATCAAGAATTTTGAACCATTGGGTCAGAATGGACAAACATGAACAAAAATTGTCGGTTATAGTCTACAAAAATCCTGAATTTTGAAGGACATATACTTATTTGTCACTGGGTCGAAACATACAAAAGTGATAAAAATCTGTGGGTGCCCGTGAAAATCGAGAATTGTCTCATGCACAATGCAGATCTAGGCAACTTGCTAGTTGCTCTCTTATTACATAAGAGAGCCCTACAAAGCATTTGTTTCATTCTTTTTATGAGCATTTTTTAATTGAGGCCAAACTACAGCTTCTCAATTTCTCGCCACCATGTAGTTTCATTGACATGATACAAACTTTACCTCTATTGAGATCTCTCTTTCTTCGTTATGTGTAGTTTCATTTTCTATTCCTTGATAATTACATTACTATGTTATATATTGTGGCTCCTACGCGGTACAATTTAATAGTAGACTAACTTTGTACACGATTAAGCATATCTCATGAACATCATGCATCATAGATAACTATGTGTGTGTGTGTGTGTTTATAATCACATATCTAATTCTAACCCCAAATGATGATGTTATCGCCTTGTAAGAGAAAAAAATGGCAAGATGCCATTTGGACTATATGCCTAATATCAAAACACAAGGAACAGAGTACTTATGCAAAGAATATACCAATAAAAGCTATTTACCAGAAAAGTTTGCCTTATATGCAACAGCCTTCTCTAGATAAGCACCATTGAATGTGGAGCCACTAAAATCGGATTCTCTCATATCAGCAGATGTAAAGTTAGCTCGTCTGTGAAAAAAAAAAAATTGTTAGAGAAAAAAAAGACTAGTTCAAAAGTTGTTACGTGGTTACTACTTTAGTGGTTTTGAGACTGCATCAAGTGAAGTCCAATTACTCCAGTTGCATGCATCAAGATGCATCAAATATAATTTACAAACATTGTGTATCAGACTCTCATAATTGCGAGCATATAACAAATGAAGAGCACAAAGATAAATTATTAGTTTGCATGCCACTAGCCCCAGTGATTCAGACATGGACAAGGGATGTCAGAACATGATACTTCTCCAGCAATTAGACATAATGCCATTTAGGTCAATTCCGTGTTTACTTTCTTTGGCTACAATACTCTTTAAAAGCACCATGATAGCACATTCCACTTCCGAATGACTAGAGATCCCTTGCTCAACTAGAAATGAAGAAACAGTGCAATTTCCCATCTTAAGAAAACTCGCAGTATAGGAATTTCCCTCTTTCTATCATCCAGAAGAGATGGAAAGAAAGAAAGAAAGAAAACCCCTCTTTCAGTCAATGGACTCAAGACCCCTAACACCATAAAATTTCCTCTTGCTTAAGCATGACATTCACCCCATACTGTTCATTGACTCTCTCTCTCTGCTTCAGATAAGTTTCTTTGTTCCCCAAAATACTTCAGAAATTCTATAGTAATTTAACTTTAGACTCTCTAGCGCGACGAAAATAATTCTTGACTCAAGATTAAATATCTTCACTCAGGTGCCTTTAGTTGCCTATAATTCTCGTTATTGCATACGTCATGCTCAAGGCCTGCAAGCCCGCTGGGGCAATATAAGTCCTGGGATCAAGTGAATGCAACACGTTGTTGGCTCATCCCATTGCCAAAAATGGCTAGCCAATAATGTTTCACTTGACTCTCATGACCTATCCTTGAAACCAACCCAATTTGTATTCTCATGAATCCCCCATGTGCAACTAAATGGGTATCAGACTACATCAGATGGATACAGTGATATGGATGAGTTTATAATATAAGGATACAGTGATATGGATGAGTTTATAATATAAGTCCTGGGAGTCAAGAGCAACATTGGTTAGCCAATGTTTGTAGTGGATTGAGCCAAATAACGTGCTGCACACATTGGCTCCAAGGGCTGATATCGCGTCAATGGGGTCGCGAGGCAGGGTCGTGACAACATGAATCTGACAACCTTTTCATGTTTAAGCCATAGATTCCAAAATCCGTTCATCCTGTAACCACATCTTTTTCAAAATGGAACAATTTCATAAAATATCATTCAGGGTTTGGATGCAGTATGATAGGAGTATAATCAGATAATTGGCAAGTCAAGCCTTACTGAGTCGAAAGATGAAAAATATCCTTCCATTTGGCCATTACAATGAAATATAAACCTGTCCAAGATAGCAGATGAAGGGGAGTCTCACTAAACTATAGCAACAGACAACACTTTTGCTCCTAGAGGTACATTTCACAAAACCTTATTAAACTTTGTGGGGTTTGCATGAAAGACCCTAAACTTTGGAGGGATTTACAAAAGGACAAATTTTCAAAACAGTCCCATTTACAAAAAAATTCCCAAAAAACGACCTCATTTAAAAATAATTGTCAAAACCCCGCCAGTTTCATGATAGGAGTATAATCAGATAATTGGCAAGTCAAGCCTTACTGAGTCGAAAGATGAAAAATATCCTTCCATTTGGCCATTACAATGAAATATAAACCTGTCCAAGATAGCAGATGAAGGGGAGTCTCACTAAACTATAGCAACAGACAACACTTTTGCTCCTAGAGGTACATTTCACAAAACCTTATTAAACTTTGTGGGGTTTGCATGAAAGACCCTAAACTTTGGAGGGATTTACAAAAGGACAAATTTTCAAAACAGTCCCATTTACAAAAAAATTCCCAAAAAACGACCTCATTTAAAAATAATTGTCAAAACCCCGCCGCCAGTTTCAGCTGTCGGGCTGAAACTGGGTCGGTCGGTTTTGACGAAAAAAACTTTGAAACTTCACGGGACTTGAAGTCCCGTGAAGTTTAGCAGCCATTTAATTAAGCTGCTAAACTTCACGAGACTTCAAGTCCCGTGAAGTTTCAAAGTTTTTTCGTCAAAACCGACCCAGTTTCAGCCCGACAGCTGAAACTGGGTCGATTTTGACAATTATTTTCAAATGAGGTCGTTTTTTATGATAAGTTTTCAAAATGGGACTATTTTGAAAATTTGTCCATTTACAAAATGCCCAAGACACACCTCGCCAGAATCCTTGGTACTCATACACCATCATACGATCCTAGGTACTCATCCACCATCATACGCTTCTCCAACAAAGTCTTCTCCATTCTCTCCATACAAAATCCCCTCAACAACCCCCAACTCTCCAAACCAAATCCCCTCCCTCCCTCCCTCTACTCCTTGGCTATCTTCCGCCTTTTTCGCCTCGTCCCCTCTAGTTTATCTCCATCAACATTCCCCTCCCCCCCCTCCCTCCTCATCCTCTCCCTTATCCTTTCCTTTTCTTATTCTTCGTTACCAGAACCCCCTACTCTTTTGCCGCCCACATATGTGTGTGTTTCATGTTATAATGCCAATGTGCAAAATGGGAATAGCATATAGGTTTCTATTTCCTTGAATTAAAAATGATAACAAACGAGACATTTCCCCTCCATCTTGTTGATATTACCAGATTTAATAAAGATCAAAGATGGAAGAAAACAGACAGAACTCACCTGAAATTCTCATTGACATGCACAGCCTTCCTGCTCCAAAAAAAAAGTCACAAACTAAACCATAAATCAAGAGAGCATATAAGGGGTGGTGGGTGGGGGTTAAAGAAGCGGACTTGAGATCTGCGGAACCAAACTGAGCAGCGGATCCAATCCCGAACTCCACCCCCTGCGTCTGGGCTTCCGAACCTTGCTTGCAAAGCTCCCGCAACCGCAGGCCACGCTCCACTACACCCCGCCCAGCTGATGACGCGACGCGCAGCCAGCGCCGTCGTCACGATGCTCCTCGCAAGTTTCTCCTTAGGGCCTGTCCGCAGCCTGCAAGCAGCAATAAGAAGGCTGAACGCCCATTGTGTTTGATAAAATGGCGGGGTACTCCCCGTCACATAAACATACGACGACGAGCAGCCAGGAGAGAGACGACCGACGACGAAGATGAACACGAGATGAGGAGAGAAGTTTAGCTCACCCAGCCACCGCCGCCACCACCCACCGTTTGCGCAGCTTGGCGGCACGGCACGGATTGGGGATCTGGATCGAGTAGGAGTTGCGTAGGGATGGGAGAGGGAGAGAGGAGAGGCAGTGGAAGTGAAAGAAGCCATGGCCATTGTGTTCGTTTGGGAGATAAATTGGGAAGGAGTGTATGAGGAGAGGAAGCACGCGCGTGATCATCTTCTTATTCCTTTGGCTCCAGCGCCTAACACGTGGTTGGGCTATTCTCTCTCTCTTCCCGGAAACTTTTAAAGCCCAATTCGTATTTCGGCTATGAATGGATAATGGCCTAGCAAGAGAGCCTTTTCCGGCCCATGATGTGCATACTAAGGGAACAGGCTGTATTGTTCACGGAGGGATGAGAAATGTACAGAAACTGCTTAAACTATATGATCCATTGATTGGAACAGTATGGTACTCTCATTAACTAAACAATTCACATTTAGCAAATAAGTTCTTAAAGACCAAAACCCATGTTCACATTAGCTTTTTAACACATAATTTTTAGCTATTTTTGTAATTTCATCCTTCTGGCAAACAATTTCAAAGGTTGAAACTCAAGATTTCATGAGCTGTACGACTCATGATTTTTGGCTTTTTTAGTCATTTTGACCCGTTGACAAATAATTTCCCGGATGCTAAAATTCACGAATTTATGAGCTATAATCAACATATTTTGTCCATTTCTTGTTTTTTAACTTTTTTGCAAATAATTTTCCGGAGGCCTAAATTTAGGATTTCATGAGTTATATAATCCAAAAATATTGGCTATTTTATTCATTTTGACCCACTTGTAAATAGTTTCACGGAGGCTAAAATTCACAATTTAATGAGTTATAACCCATGATTATTGGCCAATTTTAGTTGTTTCAACCTATATGCAAATAATTTCCCGAAGGGCTAAATTCACAATTTCATGAGGTATAATCCATGATTTTTGGCTATTTTTAGTTTTTTTTTACCCTATTTCGTAGAGGCTAAAATCAACGTATATTGAATATATGTGAATTGTTAGTGATAAATAATTCTTTTATGATAAATAATTATATATATTATAGATAAATGTGATAACCAGTGTTTGGGAACCCAACAAATGATTCTATGTGAGAGAAATCATGTGGATAGTCAGCATGTTGATAAACAACCAAAGCAGGTAGTTTTACTGCTGCGCGGTCGACCGCGATGGGCGCGGCGGTCGACCGCACAGTAGTCGGGCACTCAGGAGATATTTTTCCTGTTGTGCGGTCGACCGCGCAACAGGCAGATTGTTTTTTTGGGTTTGGGTCTTAACGGGTTTCGAGTCGGGTTTGTGGGGTTAGTATATATATATTTATACCCAAGAGAGGCTTCTCTTCATCTGAAATCAGAAACCCTAGCCCCCTCTCTCCCCTCAAACCCTAGTTTTCATTCTTTGGTGATTTGGGAGGAGCTTCGAAGGGTTTTTCAGCGGATTTTTGGTGGGATTCAGCGAAAGGGATCATCCTCCTACAGATCTAGGGTTTTATTCTCATCAGAGGCGAGTAACATCTCGCCCAACTTCACCCCTTTTGGTTTTCATGCTTAAACTTGTGTTTTAATCCTGTTTTTTTGGGCCTAAATCGTATTTTATGTATAGATAACAGATCATTATGGCATATGATGTGAGAATCAAACTTTTCAGATTTTAAAAGCTCACCAACGAATTTTAATTAATGAGATCTAGATCTGAAAACGTTTTTAGCAAAAGTTAATCCTGTTTTTACTGTTTTAAAAACATCTAAATCATGTTTATATATGTTTGGGATCTTGGTGATAGATTTTAAATGTTTAAATTTGTTGTTTTCTGCCAAATGACACATTAGAAATATTAGAATTTTAATAACATAAGAAATCATCAAGTGTAACTGTTTTCGAAGCTGACAGAAACCCTTACTGGGCTTCTGTCTGCTTCACGGTCGACCGTGGTGGACGCGGCGGTCGACCGTTGGGCGTGCAGGAGGGCAGAGACTGTCTGCCCTCTGCGCGGTCGACCGCGGTGGGCGTGGCGGTCGACCGTGGGTCGTTCAGTTGAGCACTGGGGTTTCTGCTCTGGTCGCGGTCGACCGGATGACCTCTGCGGTCGACCGCCGCTCAGTTTTTAAGCTCAGTGATCTTCAGCTCTGTGCACGGTCGACCGGGGTGACCTCTGCGGTCGTCCGCCGCATAGATTCTTTGCCTTGTTGGTTTTTGTTGAGTATTACGCCTGTTGGGGGATTTCCTCAATTTTCTGACTTTGGCTTTCAGTCTTACTATGTATCTATGCATGATATATGACCTGAGAGTACCAGTTTAGAATTGCACACCGAGTCGAGTGTGAAATCTGTATAGTAGATATTTCTATGTATATTAGTGATATTTGCACAGTTGCACAGTCCTCGTGTTGGACTATAATCCATAGGAGTCCTCGTGTTGGACTATAATCCATTTCAGTCCTCGTGTTGGACATTTACTCATTTGTACCATGAGTTGGTAAATCACTATATCTAGTTCATGTATTGGACACCTGTATTAACCCTGCATATGGCACTTCACATGAGGTTATGACATGACACTCATGTAAGCTATGACATGACACCTATGTTAGTTATGACATGATTCAGTATTTATGTTCTGAAATGAGTTGTATTTTCTTTTTATTATTGTTCCCGTACTAGTTTTTAGGTTTGGTGTTTAGGGATTTACAATTTGAGATACAAGATATATACATGAGGGTTTCCTTATTTGGATTATTTCGCTTGACGTACCTATGCTCGTGTTGTAAGTTTCTAAATACTAAAACCCTCTTTGATAGGATCCATGATTTTAGATTTATATGTATTAGCTGTATTTTCTTACAACGAGTCCTTTCCCTTGGGGTTGGTTGTGATGTTACTCGCTAGCTCTTTGACGCTCATTGTCCCTCCCCTTTTCAGGTAACGAGCCAGGAGCCCGGAGAGTCGCAGGTTGATGGCGACACACTTTAGTGTTCAGCTGTCTATTTTTTTTAGTTATGTTTTATTTTGGAGCTCCATTGTAGATTTTGTTAGACATTTGAGGACTATATTTTAGATGTTGTAAAGGCGGTGTGCCTTATTTCCATTACTCAAGATATTTTGTATTTGAGACTTGTTGAGAACTCCATTTTATTTACTTCAACTATTGACTATGTATTTCTGTAGGTTGGATGATGAGATATCTATGTGGTTGTTATCATTTCATCAGTTATCACTTGTATTATCTTTTACTTGATTTTGTACCTACACCTGTTGTTGACTCTACTAGAGAGATGTTAATTGTGATGGTGAAACATGTTATTGCACGGTGTGGTGCATGGCAGGTTTGACATTCTTGGTTTCACCTTGGACTGCAGCCTTGTGTGAACCCAGGGGTGTCACAGTTGGTATCAGAGCTCTAGTTTTAGTATCCTTAGGATCATCCTGTGTCGAGTCGTGGAGCTAGGATATGGTCTCTTAGGATTCATGTATAGAGTCCGTAAGGATTTCCTAGTATGAGTGAGGATGATATATGCGTATATCTCAAAATTTGAGAATTTTTTTTTAATTATGACAACTATTTTGTGTAAATTTAAAGTATTTGTGTGAATACTATATGTTGTGAAAATTGTATTGTGATACGCTATTTATAGAGGTCTATTTTGACTCCTAAACCCTCTGGACAGACAGAGTCACAACAGACTCCATCTGAGCAGCAGCCAGCTCAATCCGAGCCACAGCAGACTCCATCTGAGCTGCAGCAGGCTCCCTAGTACCTTGTAGATATTATGGCTCCCCTTATAGCTCGGATGGCAGCAATTGAGGAGCTTGTGGCGAATCATATCCCGCCACCCACACCACCACCACCGGTAGCTCAGCAGCAGGGGATACCCGCCGTTCCTATCAGAGAGATCCCCAGAGATCACACCTGCAACCATTCCACTAGTAGTCCCAGATAGAGCCGCAGAGCAGGAGGCTTGGCTCCGTATGGTAGAGAGGTACCAGAAGATGAGGGCACCGGAGTTTCAGGGGTCACCAGACCCTCTTGCAGCCCATAAGTGGAAGGAGGATGTGAGCAATATACTCGACATACTCAGTGTGGATTCAGTTCAGAAGCAGAGGTTGGCATCCTACAGTCTGAAGGGAGATACCGGGAGATGGTACCGACTCCAGTTTACTCCAGAGCAGAGGATGACCCTCACATGGGAGGACTTCATATACTTCTTTGATGGGCAATATATTTCTTCTACAGCACGGACTGGGAAGGAGCTTGAGTTGTCCCGGTTGACTCAGGGGAACATGACAGTGGCAGATTTTTAGAGCAGGTTCATGGAGTTGCTACATTTCACGGGTATGTGGTAGACAGGAGAGCGTCAGGTTCAGATGTTCTTAGCAAGGCTTTGCCCTAATCTCCGCCGATACCTCATCTCGAGGAGGTTCTATTCAGTTATGGAGGTAGCTGAGGCCGTCACTTCATAGGAGATTGAGACTACCATGTTCCAGAAGGATAAGGAAGGAAAGGCCAAGGCAGGACAGAGCGGGGACAAGGGCAAGAACAAGAGATTTTTTTCTGGACATCAGCAGCAGCATCAGGACCCTTATAAAAAGGGACCCCAGCAGGATCAGAGAGCGCATCAGCAACGCAAGTTCTAGGGATCTTGTTTTAACTATCGCAAGGTCGGGCATAAGGCATCGGAGTGTCGTAGCGCACCAGCAGGAGTCCAGCAGGGCAAGGGTTCGAACCAGCAGCAGCAGCGACAGCAGGGCAGAGGTCAGGGCTAGCAGAACAGGCTTGAGGCACCGCCAACAGTACAGAGGACTGAGGGGCAGGTTCGAGCAGTTCAGGAGGTTCCTCAGGGGCAGATTGTCCTATATTCTCCATCTCCAGCAGCAGAGCAGTCTTCAGCCACAGGCAGGATATATGCAGTAGTTCCCCGTGATCATGGAGCTAGCGGAGCCGTAGTGGAGGGCACGTTCCTTGTGAATTCCTTTCCCGCCCGTATTCTTTTTGATTTGGGAGCTTCACATTCTTCCAGAAGGCCTTTGATATTTTGAAGGCTAAGTTGACTACAGCGCCGGTTTTGACTATTTTGAGTAGCGACAGGACATTCGTCGTGTATACAGAT